GGGGCCAGGGCCCCCCTTCTCTCTCAGTGCCTGTCTCTGTACAGCACCCAGGCCCTGAATGTGATGGGAGCTCTCCTACATTAGTTTTAAGTAAAGTTGTCTTAGTTCGGAGACGAGGGAGAGGAGGCTGGGGCGCACAGTGGGGTGCGGCCCTCCCGGGACTCCTGTGGGGGAAAAGCCCAGGGTGAGCCCGCAGTCCCCCCCGATAACTTTTCGAAGCTGTTCCGTGGAGCTCACTTCCTGGTGAATGAGCTGGGAATCCCGAATCCACCTGCCCGGGGCGGAGGACCCCAGCGGCACATTTAGCTGGGAGGTTTCCGGGTGGGGTTGACTTTGCTGTTTGAGACGCGTGCGGAGGACCTGGCAGAGGGCCTCCCGGTGCGAGCAGAGGGGGGCCCGGCCCCGGGACTGACCTGGCTTCTGTTCCAGTGGACCTGCTGGGCCTCCTCAAGTGGCGCTCCAACACCAACCTGCTGCAGCAGAACCTGCGCCAGCTCATGAAGGTGGATGGCGGGGAGGTGGTCAAGGTGAGTGGGGCGGGGTGGGGCGGGGGGGGGGGCGGGGGCGGGGTGACTACCCCATAAACACACACACGTGCTTTCAGAGGGACGACTGTCTTATCTCTGTGAAAATTAATCCCATGAAATGGCCTTAATTAAACGGCGAGATGGTCAACATCGGTATAAATTAATATCGTTCACTTTCCGAACTTCGCAGGCGTTGAAACATCCCCACGCGTCCCCGGCTTGGGCCATCGTTCCAGGTCCTCGCCGGCTCCAGTGCTGACCCTGTTAAAGGCACCCTAACCCGTTTCCCTGGTTCTGTAAGCACCCGGCTCCCAGGGAGCCGGAGGAGTACGTTAACATAACTCCAGGAGACGCACAGTTAATGAAACTTTTGTCCCCCGTCATGTCTAAGACCCTCGTCACCTCAGGAATCTGTGCGTTTCTGCTGGTCTTGGTCACACTCACCAGGGAAATCGGGAGCCGTCTCGTCTTGTTCTCCCGTCCCCGATCTAATCGGTTTTCAAATCCGATTGCTCATCCCTGGGAACGTTCGCCTCTCTCCCTCTGCTCCCTGTGCACCTGGGGACCCCTCAGGCTGGGGGACCCTTCAGGCCAGGCCGCCTGTCCACCCCTCTTCTCGCTGGCCTGACGGTGCCTTGGCCGGCGTGTCCTATGTGCCCTGTAGGCCTGGAACCGTCTTGTCTCAGGCACACGGCGTTACTGGCAGCCAGGCCCCGGGGTGGGGGGGTCCCCGGTTTACTTAGCGGGGCTCCTTTTCCTCTGTTTAAGGACACCCATAGACTGTGGGTTATTCCCACTTATTCAAGGCCTTCCTTCTGACTATCTAAAACGAGTAGTAGAGTGATGACACTGTGATAGACTGAGAAAGGTCCTTGTTCAGTTAGCAAAAGATACCGTCTCCCATTCTGGTGTAACAGGAAAATGGTGATTTTGGTTCTCCAGTGGGTAGTCTTAGAGAGAGGATGGCTGTCCGCGGAGGGGCGCTGTCCGCAGAGGGTGGCTGTCCAGAGAAGCCCTCTCGCAGCCCGTGTACGGGACCCCCTTCGCGGTGCTCGTATCCCGCAGCCCTGCGCCACATGCGGATGAACCAGGAGGCCACGGCTCCCGGCTGTCATGCTCTGAGCTGTGATGGCGTCCCTTGTCGGGTGGACCTGCTGCAGGGACACTGGGTGAACCGTGACGAGCCGGGCTTGGCAGCTGCAGAGGCTGTTGGCAGTCACACCGGGCTGTTCACAGATGGCAGAGTTTTGACCTTTGCAAGGATCTTACAATCTGAACATGGGGACAAATGATACAAAAGCAAGTGCTGTTGAGCCCTTGGTCACCAGATGGTGAAAAGCAGGGGACGGTTGGAAAGTCCCGCAGGCGGGACCCTGGGGCCTCCCCCTGCGGCCAGTCCCATCGCTGGACTCAGCTCACCCGCGTCTTCGTTCTGAGGTCACTGATCTCTGATGTTTGTCTCGGCCTCTATTGGCTGGAACTATCCCTGAAGTGAGCAGCGTCGTAGGTGGCGCCCGGCCCAGGTGGGCATGAGAGCAGAGCCCGGGCTCAGAGCCCATCCCACGGCCGTGTCTCCACAGTTCCTCCAGGACACCTTGGACGCGCTGTTCAACATCATGATGGAGAACTCGGAGAGCGAGACCTTCGACACGCTCGTGTTCGATGCTCTGGTAAGAGGCCCCTCCTGTCCTCCACTCAGACGTTAGAGGCACGTCCGTAGGGGATCCATCGCCGTGACCTCGAAAACATTGCCCTGTGCATCCAATCCAAGCAATCAGGGAGAGCTGGGAGGTCTCCTTCAGTAACTCCGGTTGGGCAAATGCCGTTTCCAGGGCAGGAGGAGGTCAGCTGGCTGACCAACTTCTGTCCGAACATCTTGGAGTTCATTGGGTCCCAGGGTGGAAGGATCAGGTGAAGATGCCCGCGGGTTGGCGTCATCTTACTAACGACACGGCCGATTCACTCCCAGGTGTTCATCATCGGACTCATTGCCGATAGGAAGTTCCAGCACTTCAACCCCGTCCTGGAAACCTACATTAAGAAGCACTTCAGTGCGACGCTAGCCTACACGTAAGTTCTCTGGGTTGTTTTAAAACCAGAACGCTTTTTGCATGTGCTTCTTGTTAAGGGTCTTCTTCATGTCCTTTTTATCTACGACTGTACGTTCCCCTCCTCACAACTCTGAATTTGCTGGGGGAGTTTTTATTAGTATTTCCCTCTTCACGGAGCTAAAAGTCTTACCAGCGAATTACGTAGAACATCCTGGTCATTCTGGAATACATTCTTTCTCTTCTCCCCCATCTTCTACTTCCCTGACGTTTTCAGTTCATGTTCGATGACCCTGAGAGACGGGGGCAGGGTCTGCTCCCGTGCGGCTTCCCCACCAGCCTGGATGAATGAATAAATGCATGTGTTCTTGTTGGAGAGCATTGCTTGCTTCGTGGGAATAAAAGTCAGTGTGGTGCTTTTCAGTATAGCTTTTTGCTCTTTAAAGGATGAGTTCCCTTTTGTGGCGAAGCTTCAGCTGTGACTCACTTGGATTCTTAGCGCCCACCCAACTGCCCCTTACCGGCCCCCGCACCCCCGTAGGTGCCCCTGTGGGTCTCACACACACCGGAGGGCAGGGGGAGGCCGGGCCCCAGACGCTGCTCACCTGGTGTCGAGTGGCGCAGTCCTGGAGCCCAGCCGCCTGGGCTTCGTGGAAGCTCTCAGGTGCCTCACCCCCTGGGTTTCAGTCTTCTCATCTGTAAAATGGGCACAATTGTAGGTGTGTGAGGTTTCATTATTATTATTTTTTTAAATATATTTTATTGATTTTTTACAGAGAGGAAGGGAGAGGGATAGAGAGTTAGAAACATCGATGAGAGAGAAACATCAATCAGCTGCCTCCTGCACACCCCCCACTGGGGATATGCCTGCAACCAAGGTACATGCCCTTGACCGGAATCGAACCTGGGACCCTTCAGTCCGCAGGCCGACGCTCTATCCACTGAGCCAAACCGATTAGGGCAAAGTTTCATTATTATTAGCATTCTATGACGAGTTAGTTACCTTCTATCTCTCACAGTGGGGGTCACGGACATTCAAAATTTTAATTGTGCGAGTTGCAGTGAGAAAAGAGATTTAAATAATTTCTTTTTAAAATTCATTTTAAAACATTATAGTTGACAGACAAGGTTATATTAGTTTCAGGTGTACAGCATAGTGGTTTGACATACTTTAGCTCAGAACACCCCCTGGAGGGGGATTGTCTTTGGTGCCATTAAGTTGGTCAAAGCTCCCATCTGTGCCTGGACCGAGTCCTTGCCTGGGTACAGCCCCGCACTCAAGGTCAGAGGCCTGACGCCGCAGTCCTGGCCCTGGATTCTTTCGTGTACCCCTTGATGCCTGTGGCGTGGGCAGTGCCTCGAGTGGGCAGCGCTGCCCTGCCGAGCACCCGGAGCCAGCTTGGATGAGCCCTGCGCTCACTTGCTAACACACGTGTGCTTAAACACGTGTGCTTACAACACGTGGTCTGTCGGTGGAGAGGCCCTTTGCCTGCACTCTGGACAGTTCCTTACCGCCCCTCCCCCTCGCTGTGGCAACGCAAACACAACCACAAACAACCGGGCGGGTGTAGGGAAGTGGCCTGAATGTGACGTGACCTTCGCGTGCATCACTTTGGCAGTTCTGCTTTTTTATTGAAATGTGGCCACACAGCTCTTCTCAGATTAGATTGGGAGCTTCATTTCTGGTTTTGGAACCACGTGCCCCGCTGCACTAGGATCCGAGTGTTGGCTCCGCCCGTCCTTGGGGGAAGGAGGGACCTTGGGAGAGTGGGCCTGGTGGCCAGTGAGTCAGTGGGAGGAGCAGAAAGTACCATTTTATCTTCCAGCGATGATGCGCTCCACTGCGAATCAGCGCCCTCTCGTTCAGTGGTCGCCAACCTTTCGGACCTCACTGACCGCTGGTCGGCGACCGCTGCTCTAGTTCAGTCTCTGTAATCGGCCGAAAAGGAAATTTTCACTTTGTGGAAAAGGAATATTCGTCTCATGTTTTGAGAACCTACACCACCAGTGTTTGTTTGGTTTCTAATTAACTTTCTCATAGACTCTGATACTTGGAGCAAATTTACTACCATGTGAACTTTCTGGTTTCTGAATTCCAGAAAAATAGAAAAGTTTTGATGCTCTTTGTTTTACTTGTAACAGGGATTGTTTTAAAAAACTACCTTTGGTTTAAGCACTTAATCTAACGTATGAAGCTATGAATTAAAATCAGACTTTCAATATGGACTTTATTTGTACCAACTGTCTATAATTACTTATGTCATGGTATGGAAAAATTTAAGAATAATTCTGACCAATTTTGGTAGATTATAAACTTTGTAAACTTCTATTGTCATGACAAAAGGTTTGAAATGTTTTCATGTTAGGGAGTCACTTGTTTTTGGTTGACAATTTATAAAGATATCGACTCTCTAAGAGAAGTAGAGTCCTTATACTTTTAAAACTAAATGTGTGCAATTCTATTAGAAAATGTAAAAGAAAATTCACAAAACTTTTCATGTAATACCCATGTTCTCATAAAATGTTTATAGTCTTTTATATAAAGCCTCTTAGAAAACTCATCAAAAATTAAGAATATTTGCTATTTGAAAAATTGGTTGTAAAATTTTCATTTTGAGTGTCAATAGCCTAGTTTTAGAAAACGAACTAGAGGTTGCTGAAATGGCCCCCAATAACAAATACTATTTCGTGCAATGCCTTTTTAAAATTTTGGTAAAACCCACATAACACAGAATGTACCATTTGAAACCGTTTTCAAGTGTACAGGTCATACACACTTTTAGCACTTAGTGAATCCAACGTTGTGCGAGCATTATCTCGTTCCAGAGCATCTTCAGTTTAATGTCCTTTTGCAGAGATTTTCTTTGGTGCCTCACTTGGACGAGAAAGAAAATCCTTTGATGTTTTTATTTCACGTCGGGGAAGCTAGTTTGCCCATCCGCACCTGGGAGTCTTCCCTTTCAGACCAGCGGTAATACCCACTACTTGCCTTATAGAGCTGCTGTGAGGATTAAATCACAGAATACCTTCCAATGCTCAGGGCAACATCTCAAACGTAGGAAGCGCTCTGATCACACTCTTCTGAGAGCTGCCTTCCGGGTCCCTTTCCATCCGTTTAGAACGCATTTTACAAATGTGCATATGCCGGGAGGTGTGAGCCCAAATCAAACTCACCCCCCGGGGTATCTCTCTGCGCCAGGGCCGTGCTGTGGTGCTGTGATTTGGGGAACTTATTAATTTGTGTTTCTATCGTGAATAGGAAGCTGACGAAAGTGTTGCGGAACTATGTGGACAACGCCGAGAAGCCGGGAGTCAACGAGCAGCTGTACAAAGCGATGAAGGCCCTGGAATACATCTTCAAGTTCATCGTGCGCTCCCGCGTGCTCTTCAACCAGTAGGTGTCGCCGGGCGGGCGGCCTCTGCTGGGGCTCCTGGGTTTCCCGCTCCTGTCCCCCCTCTTTCCCTTTTCCTTCCTCTTCCTCTCCGCGTTTCCTTCCTTTCCTTGGGGCTAGGATGGCAGAGCAGTGACAGGGCCCTCCGTTGCTTGGCTGAGCACGGGGATTACCTGGGGAGAAAACAGCAGGGCTCGCGCAGGAACGTGGTAGTCTTTTTTGCCTTCTTTCGTGAAGGGTCTGCTGTATTTTCGTGGAACGCAGCAGCTTCGCAAAATTCCTGGGTCCTTGGCAGTAACTGTTCTGCTAGAGAACAAGAGGGGACACCTTGGCGATGAAGATACTGAACTTACCCTGGTCATGCCGCTCTCTCCCTCCCTCGCGATGCATGTCCATCCTGGCTGTTGTTTTCAGAAAGCTCGTTTTGTGTAGAAATGAGAACAGCGGCTTTAAATCTCTGGCCAGGAGACACTGGGCTCCCCGGGGAACCCACAGAAAGATTGCTGACGGCAGGGGCACTTGTGGGGTTTCTGTTTGTCTGTGTTGTCTGCGTGGGCGGGCGCAGCCCATGAACCGGAAAACCGGCAGGCAGCCGCCTCCTGGTCAGGCCCCGGGTCCCGCTCCTGAAGGGGTCCTGGCGGGCTCCCCGCCGGCGTCCCCTGTCCCCTGGCGTTAGCTCTGTGCATAACTAGTTACTGGTCAGGGATAAGTTGCCCAGATTTGTCATGTTGCCGTCATTTCCTGGGTAACGAAAGTCAGATGCAGGTTGTAGACAAAGATCTCTCATTCCTTGTGAATGAATCCCTACAACATTACGTGCAGGGAAGAATGAGGATGGGTTTTATTCATCGACTTATGCTCCGACTGCCTCTGGCTCCCCCTCCCTCCTTCCACCTCCCGGCGGGTCAAACAGGGGACCTTTTGCTTTGTCCGGTGAGACCGAGAGGGGAGAGCGGAAACCCCCCCGCTCATCCCAGGAAGCTGCTTCGGGTCCTGTACTTCGTCCTTGTGTCTGGAGGACATTTCCATTTCTATGACGTCTCGGCCGGCAGCTGTCTTCTTCCCCCGGATGTTCTGCCCTCTCATCATTTTAGATATTACATTTCTTAGGTTTACAAGTTTGATTTTTTTTTTCTCTCCTAAAATTTTCCACCTAAGCTTCTCTTCTCTCCCTATTTTCCATGTTTCCATCTTCCTATTTGTTTACCCTTTGCTCTTTATTTTAAAATATACTCATTATATTTACTTGACTTTCTGGTTGCCTAACTACAGTATCTTGATCACTGTAGATGTTGCCATTGGCTTTCTTCCCTCCTTGAGTGGCCGTGGGTCTATGCGTAGTCATTTTTGTTTGAATGCAGAACGGTGGATGTCAGCTTGTAAAGGCGCCAGGTGACACCGCCTCCTTTCAGAGCGACCCCTCCTTCCCCTCCAGGCAGAGCAGCGGGCTGAGCCCTTGCTGGACAGGCTGTGCCGAGTCTCGCCTGCGGGTGGCCTCGCTGAGCCTCGGTCCACAGTAGTGGCCCCTCATCCTCCCAGGTTTTCAGCATAGGGCAGTGATGGTGAACCTTTGAGCTCAGCGTGTCAGCATTTTGAAAAACCCTAACTTAACTCTGGTGCCGTGTCACATATAGAAATTTTTTTATATTTGCAATCATAGTAAAATAAAGACTTATATTTTTGATATTTATTTTATATATTTAAATGCCATTTAACAAAGAAAAATCAACCAAAAAAATGAGTTCGTGTGTCACCTCTGACACACGTGTCATAGGTTCGCCATCACTGGCATAGAGCCAGCTGTGTCCTCTGGGGCCGTCTCCCCGGCATTTCCCACACTCTATTCTTTATCTCTGGAGACTGACAAAAACTCCACTCCGATTTACAGAGGTTTTTACTTTTGCTTTTAGTCTCCTGACCCATAAAGTCGCAGGAATTGGCAGGTAACCTGAGGGGTGCAGACGGACTCACCAGCGTTTCTATCAGCCCCCAAGCACCTTTCCCTGTCACCTGCAAGCAGACGCTCATGACTCCATGATTTTTAAAAAAATATATTATATATTTTTATTGATTTCAGAGAGGAAGGAAGAGGGAGAGAGAGAGAAAAACATCAGTGATGAGACAGGATCATTGATCGGCTGCCTCCTGCACGCCCCCGCACTGGGGATCAAGCCTGCAACCCTGGCCTGTGCCCTGACCTGGAATTGATCCATGACCTCCTGGTTCATAGGTCGACACTCAATCACTGAGCTCGCCGGCCTGGCGTGACTCCGTGATTTTAATTGCTCGGTGCGCCATTGAAACCAACGCCTGCTTGAAAACCCTTTACAGACAGACGAGGTCACAGTTCCCCATTTTAGACAGTTTCTTACTTTGCAGAGGGACTCATTTAAATATAAGATAAATACCTCCAGGGTAATTAATTATCAGTTTACAGAGGTTTGCCTTGTACACGAGTCTTCAGGTAAGAGGTGCTTATAATTAGGCAGGAGACTCGTCTCTGTCAATAAAGCATCTGAGTTGCAATATTTTAAAATGCAAATGCATTGCTTCTTCATGACACAGCAACTTGAAGTAACGGCTAATAAGTAATTTATAGATGAAACTTACTCACAGTTAGCACCCTATATTTGCATACATGTAACTCATGCGTAACTTACTCATTATCTATCCATTTCCCGACTGTGCTCCACCACTTGCAAGTTTTCCCATCAGCACCAATTCTGTGAAGAATGAATTTGTCTGGTATCATTTCTTTAAAATAAAGTGATTTCAAGTTTACTGTTATGGTATTTTCAAGTGGTTATAAGGTTATGTTAAATTTAGGCAATGTTGCCAAAACCGGTTTGGCTCAGTGGATAGAGCGTCGGTCTGCGGACTGAGGGGTCCCGGGTTCGATTCCGGTCAAGGGCATGTACCTGGGTTGCGGGCACATCCCCAGTGGGGGGTGTGCAGGAGGCAGCTGATTGATGTTTCTCTCTCATTGATGTTTCTGACTCTCTGTCTCTCTCCCTTCCTCTCTGTAAAAAATCAATAAAATATATATTTAAAAAAAAATTTAGGCAATGTAGTGTCTTTGTGACTCAATTATGTAATATTAAAAGTTTAAAACCACTGGCAAGCCCTAGCTGGTGTGGTTCAATGGATAGAGCATCGGCCTGAGGTCTGAAGGGTACCGGGTTCAATTCTAGTCAAGGGCACATGCTGGGGTTGCGGGCTTGATCCCCAGTAGGGGGCGTGCAGGAGGCGGCCGATCAATGATTCTCTCTCATCATTGATGTTTCTATCTCTCCCTTTCTTTTCCTAAAATCAATAAAAATATTTAAAAATAAAATAAAACCACTCGCAGGAAATACACCCAAATATTAATGCTGTAACTTCTGTGGGATAGAATTAAAGCTGAAGTTCTCCACCCTTCCTTCCTCTCGCCCTTTCTCTCTCTTTACCTCCTTCCCCCTTTCCAGACGTTTCTGTGTTTTTCAGGTTTACACACTGGGTCATGTGACAGTGAGGAAAACAATACACAGTGGGGTTGAAAACCAGCTTCTTGGAGGCGCAGGCGTCTCCGTGGCCGGTGGTACAGCGCAATCTCATTTCCCAGCGCCTCCTGGCTCGGGGATGTCCCGAGATCACTCACACTCTAACGGCCGCCCGAACAGCACCTTGGTGGCCGGAGACGCAGGCGCCTTGGGGGTGAGGCGCCGCGGCCCCACAGAGCGTGTTCCTTTGCAGGCTCTACGAGAACAAGGGCGAGGCCGAATTCATGGAGTCCCTCCTGCAGCTGTTCCGGTCCATCAGCGCCATGATGAGCAGCATGTCGGACCAGACCCTCAGGGTGAAGGTAGGCCCTCGCTCGCCGCCACGGCCACGCTCAAGGCCAGCCCCCGGCTGCAGGGCTCCTGGGCCGCTGAGAGGAGCGGCTGCTCATCCTGCCATGCTTGGACTTGGGCGGGAGGCCCTGGCTGGCTTCTGTGGTGCACATGACCCTGCCCCCTGCGTGAGGGGTGGTGCTATCCTCTGTGGGCCTCTAAATGCTGACCCTGCTGTGTCTGCTCCCAGGCTGGAGGTTCTGCACTCTCTCTGTATAAATACTAGAGGCCCGCTGCACGAAAATTCATGCAAGGGTAGGCCTTCCTTCCCTCGGCTGCTGCACGAAAATTCATGCAAGGATAGGCCTTCCTTCCCTCGGCTGCCGGCACCGGTTTCCCTCTGGCACCCGGGACTCGGGCTTCGCTCTGGCCACCGCCGGCAGGTGCCCAGGACCTGGGTTGCTTCACTCCGGCCACGGCTTCATCCGGAAGGATGTCCGGAATGACGCCCGGAAGGACGTTTGGTCTAATTAGCATATTGCCCTTTTATTATTTGTGAATATGGGGGCTTTGATGAGAGTAAGGGGCCAGGTGCCTCAGTCTCTGAGCAGGTGTGGGAGGTGGGGCTGTCGGTGCCCAGGCATCAGTCAGACCTCAGGCCACGCCCTGCCAACGGTGTCCTGTCTTCAGCCGTGAATGCACCTTTCACCTGCGCAGGAGAGAGGGATCCGGGTCCCCATGTTCCCGCTGTTCTCGCCACCTGCGGTGACCTGTTCTCACCCTCTGGCCCTTGGAGGAAAGATGCCTTCCTCTCCAGGGGCTCTGAGTGCTCCTAGGGCCGCCTGGTGTGGAGATGCCAGGAGGCCCCCGGGGCAGCCCCTGGCCCTGCACGCTCTCGGGCACCATGTTCTGGCGATTTCTATGGCGCTGGCTCACTGCAGACGGAGCTGAGCAGTGAGCGGTTTATTGCCCGTGAAGTGGGTGCTTTGCCGTCCGAGCAGTTAGCAATTTGCTGCCCGTGAAGTGGGTGATTTGCTGCCCGAGCAGTGAGCGGTTTGCTGCCCATGAAGTGAGCAGTTTGCTGCCCGTGAAGTGAGCGGTTTGCTGCCCGTGAAGTGGGTGATTTGCTGCCCGTGAAGTGAGCAGTTTGCTGCCTGTGCTAATTCTTTCAAAGCGGAGGAATCTCCCACGTGATTCCTGGTGGCTTTCCCTCGGCTGCTCCCTGTCCCTGCCTCTGTGCTCACCTTCCCTGTTAGTGTCCTGTTGATGGGTGATTTCCGAATGCATCTCTGTGTCTTTAAAATGTTGTGGGAAAGGGACTTCCCAGCTCTAACGCTCACCATTCGTGGGGAACAGACGCTCAATGTGCCTCAGGGCTGCTGTGACCGGAGCCGGGGTCACAGACAGGAATGAAGTCCCCGGGAGCCCTTCGCCTCCGAGGCGGCCGCTGTCGGCAGGCTGCTCCTTTCTCAGTGCAACGCCCCATCTTCACGGGGCGTGTGGTGGACGTACGCCTGTGGACGAGGCTGGGGAGCGGGGCCTGTGGGAGGTGAGGGCCCACCTGCTCCTGCCTGCGCCGCCGCCTCGTCCCAAGGATTAGATGAGCTGACCCCGAACCCCTGTGGCCGTTTAGGGAAACAGGTGGGGAGCGGAAGAATAGATAGAAATCACGGGGAGTTTGGGGCCCGTGATTTTAGATTTCTGAATCTGTTCTCATGTTACGGCATTTGATGGGGCTTGGCTCGTGTCTGCTCCTTTCCCCGCGTGTCAGACCCCGTCCTGAGCGGTTCGGTGGAAGACACGGTGACTGCCGTGACGTCGGCGCCGTGATGGGAACCTTCTGCCTGCAGCACGGGTGGCTGAGTTCTACTTGGAACGCTGCCTGCTTGCTGCTCTGTCTGCATTTTGTTCTTTCACAGCCGGGGTGGTCTCCACACCTGACATGAAGGTGCCCATCCTGGGTCCTGTGTTTTGTGTTGTGTTAACTCTCAGTTTTGCTCTGTGGAAATGGAGATACAGCTGTGACTCATCTTGCTCAGAGAGAACGTGCAAAGCCTGGCATGGCTCCCAGGGGTGGCCCTTGTTGGCTGTTTTGATGTTTGAGATGATCTGACCCCCAACCCCCTCATTTGCAACTCTGAGGTCAGCATGCTCTCGAACCTTCTCGGCTTTATTTGGGGTGACCTTCAGTGTGCGGCGCCAGCACGGCCATGGGTGAGCCTGAGGGGGAGGGGGCCGGTGAAGGATTAAAGAAGACAGACAAGAGAATAAAGCTGGGGCTGGGTGGGACGCTGCTCTGTGATGGAGAGACAGCGCCACGGCCTGCGAGCCGAGTCTTTATTTTATAGCAGATTCTGCGAGGCAAAGTAAGGGTGTGGTCAAGATGTTTACAATGTTCTCGCTGTTTCGAATCCACTCAGTTACAGGCACCTGGTCAAGCTTTGTTTACTTGCTGCCCCTCCCGCAGCCCACATCACCCAGCCACGTGGGCCCACAGGTGCGGACCATAAGGTCAAGCTCACAGCCATAGCCTTTGGCTGTAACTGTGCTGGGACTTGCACGTGGCTTTGCCAGGAGAGGACCGTGCCCTCTCATTAGCCCCAGGCTTGAACCTGTCCAAACGCTGTAGCCGCTCTCCACATTCAGGGTTGGGGGGTGGAGAGCTGCTGTGTCCCAGGGAGCCCGCACCCTGCAGCCGCCTTCTCAGAACTGAGGCCACCTCACATCCTCCGGCAGGTGTGAGCCGTTGACCGTGTTTTTATGTCTCGATGAAGGGCAAGGCAAGGGGAGTTTCAGCTAATATTTAACTTCAGCATTAACGTGGCATCAGACTGGAGTGTCCGTTCGTAAGGCATTGACAAAACTTCGACTGCATCCCCCCAAATTGGGTGTGTCCTGCGGGGAGTAAGGGGTGAGATGGGGCCGGCCATGAAGGCCTTGGGGGCCGAGGTCGCGGGCACAACCACTGTTGGCAGCGGGGGGCTGCCCTGGACCACTGAGCTCTGGCCGAGGTGGGTTTGGGCTTTTGGGGCCTCGCCGTCAGAACTGTCCCAGGCAGTTTTCCCTCAGTTCCCCGATGATTACTTCCAGCTCTGGGGCGATCCTGACAGACACTGTCCTGGGACTTACGTGGAGTCTCCTCTTCTGTCTGGGGCTGAGCATTCCAGAACTTTCTGGAGAGGGAAGCGCTGACCGTGGTCTACGGTGAGAGAGAGTTCCTGCTGTGTGTTTGTGTGCATGTATGTGCATATGTGTGTGTGTGGGGATATGTATGTGCTATGGGTATATGTGTGTGAGCATGTGTATGTGTGTATATGTTTGTGTGTATATGTATGTTTGGTATATGTGTATGAGTTTAAGGATGTATGTGTGAGTTTGTGTAAGTATGTGTATATGTGTATACGTGTGTATGTTTGGTGGACGTGTGTGTGAGTTTGTATATGTGTGAGTGTGTGTATGTGTATGTATGTTTGGTGGACATGTGTGTGAGTTTGTATATGTGTGAGTGTGTGTATGTGTATCTGTGAGTGTGTGTATGCGTGTGTGTGGCTGCTGTGTACATCCTCACCTTTGTTCCATGTGATGTACTTGGGCGTTTTTGTCCTCAGTATCCTTAGGTCTATTCTGAACCAACGGATTTCACTAAAAAAATCCTGGTTGGCAGGCACTACACTTACCTCCTAACGGCGAATGCGTCTCAACCCACGTTAGGAAAACACTGCTCTTTGCCCTTTAGGTTCCTCCCCGTGTCTCCTGCTCAGCTCGGGATGGAGTCGCTAGTCCTCCGTCTCCTCCACTGTCCTGTGGGCTGTCAGCCGGCACTTGGCCACGGTCCCCCCGGGCGTGCGCGGGGCCTGGGGTGCAGATTAATTGAATCTGAGCCCCCAGGGGCGGGCGGCGCACAGATGGTGTGGGTTGGCTTCCTTCCGGGACTGTCCCTGGGGTTCCATCTCACCACCTCGTGGTGCCATTTCTGCCTCGTCCTCCCCGGAAGGCACTGTGTTCCCACAAGCTGTGTGTCATCTCAATAAATACGTTGTCGGGCGAGTTTTGCTCACCCAGAAGCGCAGCTTTTATTTCCTTGAAAGGCATAACCTGGCTGGAAGTGAATTCCGCGTCCTCGCCTTCTATCTCACCCACAGCTCTTCCCTATCAGTTTTTGTTGCTTGTGGACTCTTTCTGAGCTCTCATCTGGGAAGCAGCCTCTCACAAACGCATAAGCTTAGAGTTGTTTCCTGGCCTCGGGGGAAGCTGTCTGAGTGCGTTAGGGATAATGACGGATACAGATCAGAAATCACGCGGTGGCTTCCTCGCAGGGGAGGAGGCGCTCCACGGGTGTTTTGAGCCCCGGAGGGCCCCTCCCGCTCGAGGGTGCTGGGACCCCTCACTGTCCCCCGAGTTCTGGACGCCTGTCCCCGTTCTCCACCTGCCGTTTCTAGCACAGGACCGGCTCGGACCAGGTTCTCATGCCCTTTGGCCTGTGACAGTGTCCAGTGTCCACCTCGTGTCGCCGTCCCCTCAGCCACGGCGCTGGCCGGTCTGCGGGTGTCCGACCGTGGTGGGTGCTTGGTTACGCAACGTGGCGCAGAGAGACGCCAGCCCGACTCCGCGCGGGCGGAGAGCTGTCTGCTGACCCGTCCAGATGGACGGCCGAGCTGGAATCATCCTAATCCGTGTTTGGGCCGCGCTCACCCCGCAAAGCCCTGGATGCCGGTTATCTCCTTGATCCTCCCGGCGCCGCCGCGGTGTCTGTCAGAAGCAATAATGGAAAAGCTTCCTACGGGGACGGGCAGGGGACACAGTCACGCAAGGGCTGTGCTTCTAGTAGCTGGGTCGTCGATGGCAACACGCGTGGCCACGGCACCCGGCTTCTCTCTGGGATCTTCAGGTTCCCGCTGCCCCGGGGAGCCCCTTCCCAGAGATTTCTCTCAGGAAAGTGGGGGGGGGGTGCAGAGGGTCTCCACCAGCCTGACCAGTGTAAGCAGGGTCCCCAGGGCTGGGGGCGCCTCCCCCGGGGAAAGCTGTTCATACG